AAGGATTTTACCATAGTAGAATAGCTAAGAATCAAGTACTTATAACTTTATTATAGTAGAAAAGAACAAATCTAATCATTTAAAAACTATTATAGTAGAAAAGTTTAAAACTAATTTGAATAGTATAGAACCTTTAACAAAATTGGGATCCTAAGTATGACAAACTAATTACAAGTTCTCTAGGCAAGAAAATTAGTATTTATCCAAGTATTGAAACATATAAAAGCAAATGATACTAATAGGATTTAGAAACATTTCACAATAGAGTTAAAAGTCTATTTTCCACCATTTTGAGGCATCCACTGTGGCCCACAAGGTGTCTACCATAGCTAACATTATAGATATTTGTTGTTGCGATTCATTCTACTTTATGTTGTGTGTCACGGTGAAGGTGTTATCCATCACTGGACACTGCACAAAACATATGATAGCAATTTTCTATCAAGACAAATTTGGAGGTTGAACTTCTAATGTTCCCTAAATCTCTATCCATCATTTGATTGAGGTGATTTAGGTTTTTGTAGAAAGCTTATTTTGTAAACTAGCTAATGACACTAGTTTCATTTCAAAATAATATCATACCACAAAGTTGGACACACAAAACAAAATTAATACAATTTCACACTTTCCATAATCTAAGGTATCCAAACTTACTACCAATTACCAAAAGCCTAATTTAATTGGTAGACCACCCTCAACATACTTAGGACTACTTATAAAATGCACCATAATCATTCAATATATATATATATATATATCACATTTTCAAATCTCAACCCCACATTTCACGAAATAAAAAAGGGAGGTTTTACCAATAAAAATCCATAGTTTTGATATAATATCTTTCATGCAGACTTAAGCATACTTGCATTAGTATCTTAACTCTAAAATATTAAAAAATTGTAAAGCACAATATTCTAGGTACAAAAATACAACAAAACCACATATAACCACCACAGTGCAAGTATAACCAAAACAATCATCCTAGTTGGTATTATCATTCATAAATACACATAATAATAATAATAACAATAATAAGGTATTACAATCATGATAACTAATCCTTTGTCTTAGATAATTCCCTTTTGCCTTGACAAAGTTTATCGTAAAAGAAGGTTTAGTATGGTCACTTAGTAACTAAGGTATACTAAATCATACATATTCAAGTCAATCAATTATAAGCATGGAAAGTGGGCAATATGCACAATCAATACCATAATAAACAGTCATTTCCATAATTATCAATAAGATGCATGATTAATAACTTTTTGACCAGGGTAGTCACTTACCTCTCAAAATAATAACTATAATTAAATCTAAATATAGTAAAGGGTTAACCTAGGTTATCTCCCTAATGACTGACTAATCTTTAATTATGAGGTTAACTAGTGAATAAATAAAACCAAGTGTTAGGAATGATTTATCTAAAAATATTAAACAAAGAATTAATTTTAAAGTGAGTGGATTGGAAATTTCCTTTCAAAAAGTTGGAATCCTAGAGATTAGCTAATGTTTAAATCCTTATCTTCTTGATGAATTAAGCCAATTAGTTCTCTCTCTTTTTGACCAAATTGTATTAGCTTAAGGCAACTATCCCAAATCAATTAACCTAACTAGCTCAATTCCTTAAATCTTAGATCCTTAGTTCATTTTACTAATTGGTTCAAGTGTTTATCAAATATGATAATTAAAACTTTTCCCTCATGTGCCATGGCTAAGAACAAAATATGAGCAACCACAAAACTATGTAAAGCTACTCAAGTACATGTGTCAATCTCATAAGATTATGTAACATTAAAGAAAGCAATTTACTAAATGAAAAACACAACTATATGCATTAATCATTAAGTGGATGAATTAAATCAAGAACAAATGAGATAGAATTCAATGTCATAAGAATCTTCTCTTTACACAAAGACTAAATTCAAATGAGAATTACAAAGTCATGATAATCAAACCTTAAATTAAGTTATCTAATCATCAAGTTAAAAGAGAAGATCCAAGAATTTAGGAAAGCTTAGCCATGAAGCTCATGATTCATCCTTCATCTTCCTTTTACATAGGATTCCTCCAAGGTGCCTAGCCTTTCATCTCCATCTCTATGGTCTTCTTGATCTTCATGAGGTAGCCAAACTCCATTACCATTGAAATGAGGATTTGATACATTATAACTTGAGGAAAATGGATAGAAATGGATGAGCTCAATGAGGGGAAGAGAGTGGTGTTTTTTTTATGTGGAGTTGTGAGAGGAATTGTGAAGAATTAGAGGGTTTCATGCTGAAAGAAATGAAGTACAATAGATGAACTTATGAACAAGTAAGAGAAAATAAGAGAGATGAAATGGAATGGCCTGAGAGATGAGTTTTTTTTTACTTTATATGGAAAAGGATATATAGATTGCTTTGTTTCAGCTCTTTGATTGACTAAAATATAAAAAAATAAAATGCAAATGCAAATGGATCCAAGTCACATGAAAGAGGCTTACAAGGTGGCTTGCTCTCATTGGCAGGTAGATGATTTTAAAGTATGTCAACTTAATTCAATGCATCATCATCAATTTAATTAGATCTACTTCAATCAATTATAGAATTTACAGGCCTTATATGATTAGCTCTTCCCCCTTGACATGTTTGCCCAATTGATATACATGTGCACATCTCATTTATGTTACAAAATACACATAATTCAATTTAATAAAATGCGACATGATAAAATATTATTAAAGTGCAGCATTGTATTCATATTTATAAGGGAGAATTTATTAAAAATGTCTAAGTAATGGGTGCACAAAGCTGTCCAAGATTCACGCATAAGTGCAAATCTAAAACTAGGTCAAATGAACATATTTTAAAAGGTCAATAAAAAGTGTTGACTTTTGTTAGTTACTCACAAATTGAAATGAATTTGTAAAAACTATTTGACTTCTCTTCTTATGAACGTGAAATACATTTTTTCAATTTTGATTATACATTTTCTTAAAAGCTTATTTTTAGATTAAAAAACCCCTACTATATAAAACCTAAATAGTCAATAAATTTCCAATTCCAATATAATATGTGTGTAATATAGGCTAAAAACACATTATCGATGGTCCTAATTAGAGTAAAAAATTATGTAACAAACAAGTTCTATCAATTCCTTTATATTCTCTAGATACCTTTTATTGAATCTATGGGCTATTAAATCAACTAAGGCTATGTCTATCAGAATAGATTAATCCAAACCCACCAATTGTAAGGAGTTACCTAGTCAAAGGTGCTACATTTACTCTTGAACCATAGTTTCCTCTATCTCAAATCTCATAGTGTCATGAGTTCTACCTACCATCTAATCTAGGATGATGTTAAAGGTCAAGGGATCTAGGTAATCTACCCCACACCTAATCTAATGTTTAAAGAATACCTATCCTAGACCAAACATCAAGGCCACCCATGGTGTCAATAATGTGCACATGGATACAATATACTAATCTCCCATAAGATGAACTCCACCCATGAAGTGATCATGTTGCACAATCATGCTTATTGACACGTAACAAAATATTTCTCAATATCATAAAACTTAAATACATCATTTTCAATAAGTAATCATCATCTTCATCATCAATATTTTTCTCATTTTCATAAAAGGCTATACTCATGTTCATATTTTCAAAAATACAAAACATACTATCGCACCTGAAAATGCGACACGGACAGTATAAGAGCAGAGATTTCTGCCTTTAGAAAGAAGATTGAAGAAATGAGAGTCGCCACCAAAATTTTAAGGAAAATCTTGAAAAATCATTTAAAGGTGGACAAGGATGGTTTGCGAAAACAAAAAATAGGTTCAGGAGTCAGTTGAGTGTGGGGAAGGTGCTAGGCACCCCACAACACCCGTTCGTCAGAATGGTTACCTAAAGTTTGTTGTGCTCTATTAATATGGTTTTATAATGACTTTAATTATCTCTTTTTTATTCATCTATTTGATATAAAAATGATAATAATTAAGTAAAAAATATTTATTTATTTATGAGGGAGGACTTGACTCAGAATCCAACTCTAAGGCCTACGTAACCTGTGATGGGGATCAAAGTCCATGTAGTTCGGGCTGATAAGTTTATTGGTGAAAATATTTTTTTGAAGAGAAATTAATCAGAAATAATTCACCATTTTGAAAATGAAATAATTTTATGAAATTTTGATGTGTGTTTTAAATTGCAAAAAGTGATTTAATTTCAATTATTTTCTCTATTTTTAAATTTTTGGAATAAAGAAAAGAAAAGAGTTTAAGAATTATTTTTTATTTTTATTTTTACTTTTATTTTTAAATATCTGCGAAGATTCAAAATCCTCACAACATAAAGAATTAAATATTATATATTTTAATGCATAATTATATAATTTGTATTTTTAAATATAGAAATCTTAATCGCTATACTTGTAAAGTCTTATTGACTTTCACGGTAAGATAATTATTCTAGAAGTCTATAGATATTCAAAAATTTCATATAACTAAAAGATCTAATTAGACAATATGATTCTAATTTATATTTATTAATTAATTAATTAATAGTATAAAAATGTTTATTATTTTTTACAAAATTCATATAAATTGAGAATTGTGATATCTACGAGGATTTATTATCCTACATAATAAGACAATTAATTTAATTCTCTACAAAGATTCTTAAAATCTCACGTGAGACTTAAATATTTATTATAAAAAGAAAATTAATTTTAATAATGGGGCTTTAAAACTCATATAAATACCTATAAGATTGACTTTCATACCAATAAAATCTTACTGATTTTCATAATATAGGATCATTTTAAATTTAAATGTTTGTAGGGATTCTTGAAATCTCACACCACAAATAGATTTAAATATTATATATTATTAAGAATTTTACAACCAACAAATAGTCGTGAAGCTTACGATCAGGAATAATTTCAATGATAGTCTAAAACGTGGAAAAGGAAAAGAATCCCAAAAAAAAACACAACTTAGTACAATGCCACACAAATTAATCATGTAATCAATACAAATTTTAAAATTCCCTAGTCACTCTATTAATTACATGGATTAAGCTTTGAAAAATGAACAAAGAGAAATCGTTACCCATTTGAAACTAAGCCATTACTCTCCGCTTCATCACCGTTCATCTTCACCCTGTTTTATGTGTAACCTAACTTCTTCGAGTGCTAAATCAGTTGTTGCTTCTCCCTCCGAATCTTCAATCGTTCAGCATCCTCTGTCCTTGCTCCTTGTTCGTTATCTCGAGCTGAATGCAGTAAAGGGCAATGACAACAATTCCAAGCCAGGAATGCAAGCTGTACAGATTGGCAATCCTACTTTCATTATGGTACTTGAAGGCGCAATAGATTCCAATGATTGCAAGTGCTATTGTGATGGCGTGCAGAACAAGATGTATCAGCTTCTCCAGCTCTTTCTTCAATGCAAGAGATTTGTAACTTATAATAGCTTCACCTCCTATAACAATTAAACCAATTATCATAAGAACCAGATGAATGTTGAAGATGAGGCTCTTGTTGGAGGACTCCCAAGCCAAGCCACCTCTGAAGTGTAAGTTCCAAACCAAGACCAAAACAATAAGAGCGACACCGAGAAAGTGAACAACGAACGTAAAGCGAAGGGCAGGCACAGCCAATGCCATATTTAGTGCTCTCTTTCTTAATCTATTTATCTGTTCTATAATCTCTGAAAGAGAACAGATTTGGTTCCTTTCCATTCCTTAAACTCTCTCCTCTATTTTTTTTCATCCTCTCTCCATCTCTGTCACTCTCTTGCTCTCTGTCTTTCTTTTTTTTTCTCCTTTTGACTCTCACTCTCAAAGCTTCTCTATCATTCTCGGTCTCTATTCAGACCCCCTAACAACTTCCGAAGCAAAATGACAGGTCCTCCCCCCGTTTTCGTCCGATTTGAGTGGTGCCACTGTGCTCTGTTTTTTTCTTCTTCTCTTTCTGCAGCTGCTCTCTCTCGCGTCGGCCTCTCTTCTTTCTCCAACTTATTCTCTGTCTCCCTCTCCTTCATTCCCACTCTCTCAGTCCTTTCTTCTACGTGCATCTCCCCTCTTTTTCTGCCTTTTTGCGTGTGTCCTCCATGCTCTGTTTTTCTTTCCTTTTCTCTTCTCCTTTTTCAGTCATTGTTTTCTGCTCTATTTTTCAAGCGTGTCTGTGTTTTCTCTGCCAAGTGAGTGCGTGTCTATTTTTTTGCTTTATTCTCTGTCTGTTGCGTGCATGCATGTGTTTAACGCATGCGTCTAAATTTCCTTTTGTGTTTCTGTCTTTCTCTGTGTGTTTTTGGCTTTCTTCTTCTTTTCCCTTATGCAGCGCCTGATCGAGAAAGATTTATTTCTTTTGGCTATCTGTGACTTTGTGAAGCTTTCTTTCTTCGTGTGGCTATCTATTCTCTGCTTCTTTTCTCTAGTCTATTGTTATGCATGACTGGCATTACTCTACTCTTTGCTTCCTTTCCATTGCTTTTGGCCTTTTCTCTCTTTTCAGTCTGTTTCGTGCTTGCTCCATGTTTCTTCGTACATGAGTCTGCTCTCCTCTGTTCTTTCGTCCACGTGTCTGACTGTTCTCTCTCTTGTTTTCCTTCTTTTCGTCTGTTTCATGTCTGCTGTGTTTTTGTTGCTGAAGCTGGGCAGTTCCCATTGCCATGCACGTTATACTACCTTTTTTTTGTTTTATTATTCAATGATATAAGTTTTTTTTTTTTTAAGAGAAAGATTATCTAACGTAAAAGGAGAGAGGATTTATTTTTTGTTAGATTATTATTATTATTATTATTTGAAAATATAATTCTAAAAAGGATTAATTTTTTTTTTGTATTTTTATATATTTTTTTGGGTTATTTTTTAATGAACTAAAAGAAATAAGATCCTAAACAACAAAAGATTATTTAGGTTAAAATAAAATTAAACCTAATAATTAAAGATATTTTTTTGTTTGAAAATATAATCCTAAAAAGGATTAAATTTCATTTTTTTTGTTTTTATTTTTTTGATTATTTATTATTATTTTTATTAAAATAAAAAAATGCTTGGACAAAATACAGTGTTCACATATACAATTTCCTAGTCAAACATATTATTTCAAGTTCATAAAAACCTTTAACTAATTGAACAAGCACATACAGTAGATAATTCTCCTAATTATCTCAAACCTTTAAGTAATCAAAAGCTTCCCTTTAACCAACTTGCTTCTTGAGCTAATTTTCTGAGCTCGATAGATGCACAATGCAATTAGGCTGCAATCATAACAATCATCATCAATGTTCAACACATTACCAATACTTCCTAAATCACTAACCATTTGGCCAATTGAAAATATCACAACTCTTGTATTTTCTTACACCCAAGGTGTTCATGATCTACCATTAACTTCATTAAACTCTGTTAGCTTAAATATCATCATTTATAAGACTCAATCATCCAAAACTATCACTTTAATGTCTAGGGTTCACTCAAACTTGAGTACCCACCATATAACCTCAAATAAACCCTAATTTTTGTTTAGAAATATAAAACAACTCTCATTAATCCAATTATAGCCAATGGTTTGACTAAAAAGTCCCTTATGTAGAAATCAACATCTCTCAACCCTAAAACCTATATTTAGAACATGTAGAGGTGAAGGAAGAATGAGTAAGAGGGTTACCTTAATGGTGGAAGGCTTAAACAAGCTCCCAAATGGCTGCAAGACTGAACCCTAGCAAACCCAAGCTCTCCCTCTCGGTTCCTCTTCATTTCTCTTTTTTTTTTATTTCAGCTCATATGATCATATTATTTAACTAGAATTTAAGCCATTCCCAACAACACATGGTGTGTCTGTTGTGGTAGATAGTATAGAGAGGCTAGGCTAGACTTGTTTCTTCTTGTATCACCCAGGTAGTCCAACACACTTCTGAACCTAATCCAAAGGCTGAAAATCAATTTAAAAAACCCATAAGCCATCTGTAGCCACCCTTAAATTATTTTATGCTTAAATTTACTTAATTACTTTTTATTAACTCACTTAATCTAGAATTTAAATTCTATGATGTTACAAGGTATATATGAATCATGCTAATAGAAGTTGATAGAATTGCAATAGTTTGTTCTCGTCGATAACCTAGGGTTCTTTCCCAATATCAAACAGATACTATGAAGGGTTAACACAATCACTACATCACACAAAGTTTTCAATTTCAATAAACATTCATTACTAAATGCTTGGGAACCTAAGATTTTTTTCTAAAACCCTTTAAAAATTGATCCTATATGAATTCATGCATAGCAAAAACAATTAGTACTGCATTCATACCTCTAAACCATAAATCAAGATCAACCAAATAGTGCAAGAAAGTGGGCAATGTGCCACAGTGTGCACCACAAGTGTCGCAGCATGTGGCACAGAGCCACAAGCTCCTTGTTTGTGTAATGTGCCATAACATGTGGCACTATGTGCCATGACGCACATGACATATTCTATTGTTATATGGCAGCTCACAAAAGTGAACTTTGGTGTATGCCATTTCAATATAAGATGTTCGATCAGAGTGATTCAAGCGCCTACATAAAGTTTATTTCATAAGCTAACTAATGAAAAAAGTTTGGATATAATCTAATAGTTTGATCTAAATTTGGACACTTAGGTGTAAAAAGCTATTTTTCTTAAAAATTTCAAGCATTAAATGTTCAAATCACACACTTTATCTCATTAAACTATTTCAAGCATAGAATCAAGTCCAAAAGAACCAATTATACCTAATTGACCAACAGTACAATCATACATATGCATATACCAAGATTTGACCATTCAATCACCTGTTTTACACAATAAAAGGCTATTTTTCACAACTTTACATAATAACACTATCTTGGCCAAATTTATCACAAAATTCATCACTTTCACATTCACAAATAAATCTTAGCCAAATATCACTTAATTCACCACATATAACATTTTCACTCACGCTAGGTTCATATTCTCAAAATCACTACTCAACACAATTTATAACATGCACATGAATCTTATGGCATGTATAATAGAAGCAAATTCATTATACAAGCTCTGAGGTCACATGAAAAAAGCAATACTATCTAATCCTGAGTCCTTCCACATGCTTAGCTCATTAGGTCAATCGTACACTCATTGACCAGAGCACACATTTAGTGGTAAAATCACCTAGCTAAATGTATTCTATCTCACTTTCAAATTACAATTTTCCCCTATCATACTCAATAATTGGGACATTGTTACTCCAATACCACATCTCACAGATGCTAAGGAGTGAAAATCTCCAACACTATACCCATACCCCACTTGGGCACTAAGGAGATAATCTAGGCCCAAAATGATTTATTGAGACAAAGTGATCAATTTGAACACTTTAGTACACCTAAATCTTCAAAAAAATGTAACTTTTGGCACCTGAGTTTTAATTTTTGATTAGATCGTTGGATTGTGTCCAAACTTGTCTTTAACTAGCTTATGATATAAGCTTTGTATAGGCGCCTGAATAACTCCAATTGGATGTTATATGTGGAAATGTTATATGCCAAAAGTTTATCTCTACAAATTATCATATGACAGCAAAATTTCTATCATGTGTACTGTAGCATATTGCAAGTCATGCCACAGTGCATGGCATAAAGAAGGGAGCTTGTGTCTCTATGCCACATACTGTGGTGCATATGGTGCATGCTACAGTGCACGTCCTATATTCTGGCCTTGTTTTCTTGATTTCAAACTATGACTTGGAAGTGATGAATGCATGTATTTATCTTCCATTATGCTTTGTTGTGCCTTGCTTTGATAAGATAAGGATGTTAATGATTTTCAAACAAAGTCTTAGGTTACAAGCTTTTTAAAATTAATCCTTCCCTAAGTATATATGATTGTAGTGTAATCATTTAGCTAAAATCTTCTAATGTCAGGTGGATATTATAGAGGAGGTTACAATATGCTACCATGTGCTACAATGCACATATTAGATTTTACTTTCACAATAGCTTGCTAATATGAACTTCCATCGCACACCATTTTCACATATGGCATTTGATTGAAGTGATCCAAGTACCCACATGAAGCCTGAGAAGCAAGCTAACTAATAAAGAAAGTATAGACACAATCCAATAATCTGATCTTGATTTAAACATTCAGGTACAAAAAGTCACTTTTCTTTAAAAACCAAGGAACCCAAGTGTTCAAATCAAACACATTGTCTCATTCAACTATTTTGGGCCTTAAGCTAAGTCTAAAAGGACTAAATATACCTTATTAGCATAAAATATCACATATAACACAACATATACTTCATTCAATCTCTCAACGCCACTTTTCACATAGGTGGACTTATATGAGATTTTCACAACATTGAGCTTAATCAATATACTATCACTGATACAATTATAATTGTTCCACTCGTACATACTGGACTTATACAAATGAGGCCAAGCCTTACCATTTATTCAAGTTCACAATCATCACCTAATTTACACACATACACATATTATCATAAACACATATACATACTAATAGGACAAGTTAAACACTTAAATTTTCCAAATCTTGCTTATTAACAAACCTATAGCTTTACGTAAGTACTGACATTATAGGCACTATAAAACTAGGAAAATATCACTTTAAACATAATATGAGGTGATATTTCACAAATAACACATTTATTCACTTTCTTGAAATAGCATCTAAGCTGTACATCACATTTACGCACGTTTACACAAAAAGTGAAGATGCACAAAAGATAGTACAAGTAAGTCACCAAAACAATGTATACACATGTATGCA